CTCTGCTATAACATTTGTAGTATGTGTTAAGTAATCCTTAAGGTAACATTTTTATTATGTCATAAAAAGTGCATGGCAAATATATTATAACTCATGGACTTTGTTTAAAAATGAACGGATAATTTATTGAGTGTGTTACATGAGCCTTGCTCCCCTCCCCATTTCAGCCGAGACCTGCTGATCATTTCGCCTAGCCTCCTATTGAGGACTCCCGCCCTGTGACATGCTGGGAAAGCAGAGCCATGGTTGGCTAGCAATTACGTCATGGTTTATGTTCTCAATAAAAATTTAATTAAGTCATTACAGGAATTGCAGTCATCATTTAACCCTCTGATTTCTTCTGTTTAGTTTATTATGAAACATTCAGTAATACCAGTCACCGAATCCTGATGGCTTATAAAATACCTGCATGAATTTTAATAGCTTAAATAAATGGGAAAATATGAGTAACTAATATAAAAGGAACCTTTTCCCATGTGGTGCTGCAGTATGTATGGGTTTTTATAAAATAGCAAAGCATTATGGAAAGGATAAGAGTTTAATAAGCAAGCAGCTCAACGCTATCCGGGAGGAGTTTCTCTTCTGCTGGGGCATCTGTGGATTCGTGATCAGGGTACTCCACAGAGAGAGGCCTGACCCTGGGGAGACAGGAAACCTACACACGAGTGAACAAAAGGCCAAGTGAGTGAGTAAAATCCAACAGGGAAGCTCCAGACTATCCTTGACTGCTGAGCTGAAGAGAAGGGCCTGGTGGGGTGAGTCCAGCAGTTCAGGAAGCTGCTGTCACTTTACCCTCACCTGTTGCCCTCAGATCATGTGTCTGCAGTGATGGAGCTTCCAGCCTGTTCCAGGAAGGGTCCTTTTCATGATCTAATCCAGCCTGGGTGATGATATCTGAGAACCATTCCTTCTGTGGCCGTTTGCCATCTCTCATCTAGAGGTGAGAGGGAAGAGATCGCTTATAGGTCACTGAGTTAGAGGATCAGGAGGCAGAAGAGCCTTGCTAAGAAGGAGCTCCACTCCTGTACCCAGACTTCCTGGGCAGTAGCCAGCCAGGATGCAGGTACACCTCAATGGGAGAAAATGCATTTGTGTGTTCTTGGACCTTGCTGGAAAGTCAGAACTAAGGTTTGTAGAGCAAGCTGTTGGTGATCTCTGGAAATAACCCTACAGATAGGGAAGTAGGAAAAACACCCATAAATTAGATTCTAATCCTGACTGTGACGCTGACTTGATTTGTGACCTTGGATGAGTCTATTCCCAATGTTGGGCCTTAGTTCGCCATTTCCTCGGAGGTACTGAAGTAGGTAATCTGGAGGACTCGTCCAACTCTGAAGTTAATGGTGCGATGCTCCCTGTAAGCTGCCTCTGCTGGACGTGTTGAATGAATGTTTCCTAAGAGAGGCGCTGCTTAGGATTGTCCCTTTGTGCTTGCATAGTTAGAAAATAACTGGTGCCAGGCGCTGGTGGCTCACGCCTGTAATCCTAACTACTCAAGAGGCTGAGATCTGAGGATCGCAGTTCAAAGCCAGCCTGGGGCAAGAAAGTCTGTAAGACTTCAATTAACCTCCACAAAACTGGAAGTGGTGCTGTGGCTCAGGTGGTAGAGCACTCTCCTTGAGCTGAAGAGTTGAGGCACAGTGCCTAGGCCTAGAGTTCAAGCCCCATGACTAACAAAAAAGAAGAAGAAGAAGAAAGAAGAAGAGGGGGGGGTGGGGGGGAGGCTGGGAAGAGATGTAAAGGGTAAACAAAGGATGAGGCTGCAATGCTTGATAAGAAATGTACTCATTGGGGCTGGGAAGGTGGCTCAGTGGTAGAGTGCTTGCCTTGCATGCATGAGGCCCCGGGTTCAATTCCTCAGCACCACATAAGCAGAAAAAGCCGGAAGTAGGGCTGACACTCAAGTGGTAGAGTGCTAGCCCTGAGCTGAAGAGCTGAGGGACAGCCGCCCAGGCCCAGAGTTCAGGCCCCACTACTGACCAAAAAAAAAAAAGAAAAAAAGAAATGTACTCATTATCTTGCCCATGTAATTGTAACCCCTCTGTATAGTATGTTCACAAAAAATAAAAATAAAAATTTAAAAATAAAAAAAGAAGAAGGAAAGAAAGAGTGAAAGAGAGAAAGAAAGAAAAAGAAAAAACAACTGGAATGGGAGGAAAGGAGCACCCTAACATGAGTATTAAGAGGTCCATTTGGCTGAAATCTGAGGATCATGGTTCAAAGCCAGCCTGGGCAGGAAAGTCCATAAAACTCCTATCTCCAATAAATAAACCACCAGAAAACCAGAAGTGGCGTTCCGGCTCAAGTGGTGGAGTGCTTGCCTTGAGCTGAAGAGCTGAGGGACAGTGCTTAGGCCCAGAGTTCAAGCCTCATGACTGACAAAAAAACAAAAACCAAAGAGGTCCATTTGAAGTCTCAGCCTCACATGACAGAAGAAATGAACTCTTAACTCTAGCTGGGTTCTTGACTCTTGCATCCTAGCCCATTTGGAAGTTGTTGCACATGTTTGATAGTATTTGTGTCTGGAATTTCAGAGACACAGGGAGGTGTCAAAAGCAAAACCAAAATAACTAGAGTTATTGGACAAACATGCTTTGAGTAGTACTCCATAGGATTTAGTTACCAATGTGCCTGTCTTAGCCTCTGCCCTGGACCAGGCCCTCACCAGGATGTTGGGGTGCTAATGTTCATTAGTCATGGTTCCCATGACACTAGAGCAATTCTCAGACAGGTGGGAGAGGCTGACTGGAACTCTGTAAACTATGCTGTGTACCTAGAGAGAGCAGTGTACACCCAGCTCCGAGAACATAAAGGATGGATGGCTCATGTGGTCTGGGTTGAAGGTGGGCAGGAAAGGTCATGGTTTGCATTCCCAAGTACTACCAATCTCACATTTTCCAGCCTTGAGCTTCACAATTCTCTCTTCATTTTTGAAAATTATCCATGACTATAAAGTATTGGAACTGGTTTTCATTTTATATAAGCAAACCAGAAGGTGTTACTTATAACTCCTTCCATTTGCAGAGCACTCTGCACATCAACAAGGGTTTCAGGCTATGTTGTTAAGTTAATGAATGAATATATACTAACTCATTTGCTCTCCAAAACAGCCCTTGCATGCAGGGCCTTGAGAAGACAAGAAAACAGACTCAGCTTAACTCAGTCACTAAGATCCCATCCAATGTCCATAGAAGAGCCATGACTTGAACCCGGGTTTTCTGACTAAATCTAATCATTGTACCTTTTCTTCACTTCTACAGAGACCAGTTATGATCCTTAGAATAAAATCACCTGGGTTTGTTTTTTGTTTTTTGTCCGCCATGGGGCTTGAACTCTGGACCTGGGGTATTGTCCCTCAGCTCTTCAGCTCAAGGCAAGGCTCTACCACTTGAGCCACAGCACCACTTACAGTTTTCTGGTGGTTAATTGGAGATAAGAGTCTCACAGACTTTTCTGCCTGGGTTGGCTTTGAACCTCGATCCTCAGATCTCAGCCTTCTGAGTAGCTAGGATTACAGGCATGAGCCACCAGGGCCTGTGATCCAAAGTAAAATGATTTTCCTGGAAGCTGGCACCTGTGGGGCATAATGAGCACTGACTCTGGATTCGGACTGATCCAATGCTAATCTCACCTTTATTAGTAGATTACTATATGACCCAGGGCTGGCCACACCACTTCGAAGAGTCTCTGAGGTAGTCACTTCTATAAGTTCTGGTGAGGATTAGAAGAGCTCATGTCCATAAAGCACACACCCCCTCCTAGTAGCTTTTTTGTCAGCTATTTAGAAGTAAGAATCTCAGGGACTTTAATTCCTGGGCTGGCTTTGGTGTACTCTAGATGTCAACCTCCTGCAGTAGCTAGGATTACAGGCATGAACCACCAATGCCTGGCTAGGAATTATGTTGTGTCTGTCTGTCTCTCTGTCTCTCTGTGTGCTTATGTGCATGTGTGTCAATATTGGAGGCATGAATTCAGTGTCTCATGCTCTTGCTTAGCTTTTTCACTCAAAGCTAGGGCTATACCACTTGAGCCACCCATTTGCTTCTGGGTTTTTGCTTGTTAACTGGAAATAAGAGTCTCACCAATTTGTCTTCTTAGGTTGACTCCAAACCTTGATCATCAGATCTCAGCCTCCTCAGTAGCTAGGAATATAAGAGTGAGTCACCACTAGGCTTGGCTAGGAGTTGCACTGTGAAACAATCTCTTAGCATGGATGTTTCTACTACTTCATAGCTGCTCATCTTGCCTCCCCCACAGCCTCCATACACAAAGCCTTGGGGGCTCTCCTTGCTCCTTAGCATCTTGTTCCTTGTCTTGAAAACCCTCTCTGCCTCTCAGTCTTCTGTCATGTCAAACTCTGCTCAGGCTTCCTTCAGTGCACCCTTCCCCCGCTCCCCACCCATAGGGCATTTGCACTGAAATCCACTCATCTCTTAGCACATTCGGAGTAGAATTTGAGGTACCAGGTGAGCAGTAGGCTTTTTTTTTTCAGTCATGAGCTTGAACTCAGGGCCTTGGCGCTGCCCCTGAGTATTTTTGCTCAAGGCTATCACTCTACCACAAATCCACTTCCAGGTTTTTGGTGGTTAATTGGAGATAAGGGTCTCTCCACCTTTCCTGCCTGGGCTGGCTTCTGGTCCTCAGGCATCAGCATCCTGAGTAAGCTAAGATTGTGAGTGTAAGCCCTCAGTTCCCAGCTTTGTCATTTTTAGTGCTGGTTTACTGTATGCTTCTCCAATCAAGACACTGTTTCTCTTACTTGGTGTGTGAAGGATCTAGCACAAAACTAGGCACATAGTTGGGGGATCAGTTCATTAAACTATGTTGGGTGGCAAATTAGGACAAATACTGATAGATGAGAGAAATGGTCAGGTTGCCTTGTTAAGCACCCCTTTCTCTTTGTCCTCCCAATAGCTTGTGACAACTAAGACCGTACAGTCATAGTTTTCAGCATTTTTTTCCTTTCTTTCATACTTCTGTTTTTGTCATTTCTTTTGTAGGTTAATTCTTATATCCTGAAGAAGAATATGCTTCTTATGACAAATAATTTCTACGCATCAATCTTGGGATATGATGAGGTAAGATATTCATTAAGCCTTTGGCTATACTGGGATTTGAACTCAGAGTCTCACACTTGCTAGGCAGGTACTCTACCTCTGTGCCCTGCCTCCATCCCCAAGTACTTGCCTGGGCTCTGTCCCTCAGCTCTTCTGCTCAAGGCTAGTGCTCTACCACTTGAGCCACAGCACCACTTCCGGCTTTTTCTACTTATATGGTGCTGAGGAAAGGACCCCAGGGCCTCATGCATGTAAGGCAAGCACTCTACCACTGAGCCACCTTCCCAGCCCCGCCTCCAAATACTTTTGATGATAAGATGTGAGGGAAATTTCTGAGACCATCATTGCCTGTCACCACAGCTTAATAGTCATTTCTTCATCTTCTTTGACTGGTTTGCCAGTGCTTTTGAAAGAGAATGCTCCAAAATATGGGTGCTAGATAGAGAAACAAAGGCAAAGCATATCTTACCTCAAAGCTTGCAGTTCCCAGAGACACACTTTAACATAGATAAGCATAGTCTGTAGACACATTACACACTGTTTTTTACTTATTATAAAAGCAATACAAGCTGGGCACCAGTGGCCCACACTAGTAATCCTAGCTACTCAAGAGTTTGAAATCTGAGGTTCATGATTTGAAGCCAGGCTGGGCAGGAAAGTCCATGAGACTCTCCAATTAACTACCAAAAAGCCAGAAGTGGAACTGTGGCTCAAGTGATAGAGCAATAGCCTTGAGTCAGAAAGCTCAGGGACAGCACCCAGGCATTGAGTTTAAGCCCCATTACTGGCACCAGAAACAACAACAACAACAAAAAACAATAAAAGCAATACATATACATTTTAAAAGTTCATAAAGCTGGGGCTGGGAATGTGGCTTAGTGGTAGAATGCTTGCTTAGCATGCATGAAGCCCTGGGTTCAATTCCTCAATACCATATAAACAGAAAAAGCTGGAAGTAGGCTGTGGTTCAAGTGGTAAGAGTGCTAGCCTTGAGCAAAAGAAACTCCGGGACAGTGCCTAGCCTTGAGTTCAAGCCCCAGGACCGCCCCTCCCCCGCCAAAAAAAAAAGAAAGTTCATAAAGCTGCTGGGCACTGGTGGCTCATGCCTGTAATCTTAGCTACTCAAGAAGCTGAGATCTGATGATTGCCATTCAAAGCCAGCCCAAGCAAGAAAGGCCCTGAGACTCTTATCTCTAGTTAAGCACCAGAAAACCGGAAGTAGCACTGTGGCTCAAAGTGGTATACTGCTAGTCTTGAGTGAAAGAACCTCAGGGACTGTGCCCAACAACAACAACAAAAATAACTAAAAGTTTGTAAAACTGTGTAACAGATTGAAATTGAAAATAAAAAGTTCCATTCCATCCCTGCCCTATTCTCTGTCACTGAAGAAAACTTCATTCATAGTTAATCAGATGTCCTTATAGATGTTATCTGTGCATAGACAAGCATCAGTTTTTCCCTCCTTTATGCCAATGAGACTTAAACCTTGCAAAGTCATTTTCAACTTGCTGGGGTTTTGTTGTTGTTGTTTTTCAGTGAGTGATAGGTCTTGAGCATGTATCTTCCCAACTAAAACTTTACTCATTGAACACACATCCCCACACCCCACCGTCCCCTAGCCTCTGGCAATTCCTATTCTTCTAACTCTGTGAATTTGACTTCTTTAGAGACCCCATGAAAATGGAAACCTTAGAGTATTGGTTCTTTTGTGACTGGTTAATTTCACTTAGAAGGTCCTTAAAGTTCATCTGTCATAGCATTAATTTCATCCCCCTCCAACATTTTATTATGGAAAATTCAAGCATATAGAAAAGTTGAAAGATGCTGTAATGAACACCTGTATATACACCACCAGGATTCATCTGCCTCTTTTTTTTTTTTTTTTTGACACACCATGTGCTTGCGGTTACATCCGCCTCTGGACTTCTCCCACTGCTTAATACATTAGCGCTCCTTGTCACTCTGGCTGGGTGGAGATTTCTTCTGGGAAGTGGCAATGCCTGCTACGTGTATATTTCTGTACCTAGCATGGCACTTGGCATGTAGTAGGTACACAGACATGAAGGAAATGCACCATGGAATGAAAATCAGAAACTAATTTAAATCGGACTCCAGTGGCTTATGCCTAGCTACCCAAGAAGCTGAGATCTGAGAATCATGGTTCAGAACCAGCCCAGGCAAACAAAAAACCTATCTAGCCATTAAAAAACCAGAAGAGTCCAGGTGCCGGTGGCTCATGCCTAGTTACTCAGGAGGCTGAGATTTGAGGGTCACGGTTCAAAGGCAGGCCAGACAGGAAAGTCTGTAAGATTCTTAATCTCCCGTTAACCACCAGTAAACAAGAAATGAAGCTGTAGCTCAAGTGGTAGAGCACTAGCCTTGAGCTGAAGAGCACCCAGGCTCAGAGTTCAAGCCCCATGAAGACAAAAAACAAAATGCCAGAAGTGGGGGTGTGGCTGAAATGGTAAAGCACCATAGGTGAAAAAGGCAAATGGGAGTGTAAGATCTAGAGTTCAAAACATACACACACACACACACACACACACACATACACACACACACACACACACACACACACACAGGAGTTGGACATCAGTGGTTTAAGCTTTCAATCCTAGCTATTCAGGAGGCTGAGATCTAGAGGATCATGTTTGAAGCCCGCCCAGGGAGAAATGTCTGTGACACTCCCATCTTTTTCCACTGAGTTTACTTCTAGTTGAGAAACAGACAATAGACAAATAACAAGTAAAAGGGCAAATGTTTAATTACAAATGTTTAATTTCAGTGATGGAGAATAACAGGGAAGGACTTAGTGTGGAACAGAAAGGTCTTTCTGAGGACTCATCACAAAAGCCAAGGCTGAGGAATGAGGAGTCGTGAGCAGCCTATAGTTTATATATGTATAGTAAATGCAAGTTAGCATTTGTCCACTTCCCAGGAGTTGGTTCTGTGCTGCTGTTCGGTGCCGGTGAGCTTTGGTGCTCTACGTTGCAAGCTCCTGAGAACTGAGCCCAGGCTGTTGTGATTCCAAGTTCTTAAGCTCATGTTAAGATAACAGTTGTCAAATCAGTCTTTATTGAGTGAAAACTCTGCCATTCCAAACTTATCACCATACCTAGTACCTCCCTCTCAGTTCCTCTAGATATAGACACCCTAATTTCTTGGAGAATGCTTTCTTGCTTCTTTTTTTTTTTTTGTCTGTCATGGGGCTTGAACTCTGGGTCTGGGTGCTGTCCCTGAGTTCTTCAGCTCAAGGTGAGCATTCTACCACTTGAGCCACAACACTACTTCCAATTTTCTGGTGGTTAATTGGAGATAAGAGTCTCAGGGACTTTTCTGCCCAGGCTGGCTTTGAACCTGGATCCCCAGATCTCAGCCTCCTGAGTAGCTAGTATTACAGGCATGAGCCACCAGTCCCTGGCCTGGAGAATGCTTTCTTTGTATAATGAGGAGAAATAAGCTAGATACCAATTGGATTATGGGAAAATTGTCATGCAATCTAATGATCTCTTTGGTACCTTTATTCCTGTTCTGCACTCTCAGACATGACTTCCATTTGTTTCCATTGAGTTACTAGCAGGCTGGTGGAAGGAAGGCTGCAGCTGTGTTCAATGACCACTGCGGCCGTTTCCAGTCCACTGGCACTGCATACCAGCCTGTGTGCCATGCCTAGAGCTAGATAGGCACCGTCCTCTGACCTCACCAGTGCAGACTGCTGCTTCTTCCATCACTAATTAGCTAGTTAACCTCTGAGCCTTCGTCCTTCCAGTGGGGGAAATAATGCCTGTGCTGCCTGGCCTGCAGAGTTATGAGGTGCCACGTGTAGAGGAACCCTGGCAGTCTGGAACAGTCATGGTGTCAGCACTGCTCACTTGCCTTGAGCCCTTTTCTCTGACTGCTTAGGAACTCCTGCTTTTGATTTTGTCTCCTCCCAGCCACCTTGCCCACCACTGAGGCTGCTTATTTTGTGCCAGGCTTTGCCTATCATAGCCCCTGCCCCTTCTCCGAACCCCCGTGACAGCCACCCCCTCCATCCTTCCCATGTCACATGTATGGATCACAGCCAACAGCACTTCGGCCTGTGCCCAGGCCACTTGAGACACAGGCAAGCTGTTGTGTGAGCAAATGGCTTAGAGAATGATGTGCCTGGACTTGTCCTTGGCTCCTGCTGCCATCTTCCAGAAGAAGCAGGATTTCCCAACTCGGCCATTGTGCCAGGACAGTCTTCAGCCGTGGAGCTGTGTGGGTATTTAGCAGAGGGTGTCTGGGGTAGGCGGAATGCTCCTCCACTCAGTTGTCACCTCTGGACATGGCTGTTCTGGGCAGTGGGCCTTGGAGCCAAACCTCACATGCCACAGTGCCCAATAGACAGACCATTCTGTCACATGCAACCCTAGCCCCCGGGGCTTTTGTGATGTTTGCCAGGAACTTTTCAGGGGCATTGTTTCTTAATGCTCACAACTCTGTTTAACTCATGAGAAACCAATGCTTGTGACGGTCTAATTGCTTTTTTAGGGTGACACAGCCATGAGTGACAGCTGCCTCCCAGATCCTGCTGTTGCCTTGACTGTCTCCACAGCTACAGGCAAAGCTCGTGCTAGTCCTCAGATCCAACTTAGCGCACTTTAGAAAACGCCTCTATAATACCCTTTGGTTTTGTTTTTATTTTTTGGCATTGAGGATTGAACGCATGGCCTTAAGCATGTGAGGCAAGTGCACTACCATTGAGCTACATCCCCAGCTGAATTATCTTCCCTTTAAAGTTCAAGGAAGCTGTAGTGATTGCAAATACTCAGAGCAAATGTTTTCATTTCTTTGCAATAGTAATAGCTACCACCATTGAACGAGGTGCTGCAGAACTAGGACCTGATCCAGCTTCCTAGCTCCAGGTCAGCACTGTGGTCCACACACTTCCTTGGCACCCAGACAGAGCAACTTCTGAGGGCCTTTCCCTTTTGTTGCCCTCATCCTCCATCCCCTAGAGGTCTGAGATGGAAAATGGCTGTCATTAGCCATTTGTGATATCTGGACTTCCTAGCGGAGTTCTTTGTGCCCAGAGAAGCAGTGTTGGGTGCGCGACACACACACACACACACACACACACACACACCTAGCGTTCTTTGTGCCCAGAGAAGCAGTGTTGGGTGCGCAACACACACACACACACACACACACCTAGCGTTCTTTGTGCCCAGAGAAGCAGTGTTGGGTGCACGAC